TTAGGGATTCCAGAACCCAGATTGAGAATCCCTGCTCCTGCTTCTCTTGTTTTCCTGTTCTACATCATTTCTTGAATTAGCCAGTTTGTTTTTAGTTGCAGTTGAAGGGGAACTTACTGACTCACATGAATGTGGGAAAGGGCAGGGTGGAGCTGGTCTCTCTCCGCATGTTACTTACTGACTTCTTTGTGAGTCTGGGCCATGTCTGCAGGCTGCTCTGGCTTACAGCTTTGAATCCTGGAGGTAAAAGAATTGATATCTCCTGCCCTTATTTCTGTCCTCTGGAATCTCTAGCAGATTCCAGAAAACAAATCTGATTGTCTGCTTGGGCCATGTGTTCATGACTAGACCAATCACCGTAATGGAGGAGGGGGCTGTTCTGCAGCCCAGCTTGCATCACAAGCCTCCTCCACCCCTATGGGCAGGGAGGCAGGGTCTGTTTGCAAAGGCTGGGGTTTGAGGGGGTTGGTTCTTAGGAGAACAACTGCCCCTGCACTTTTCTCCTCCTCCCTGGTAGAGCTCACTGCTGCTGCTCATCTGTTCTTTCCCAGCCCCAGGAGAGCTTATGGAGACGACTGGAGACCTGGGTTCTGGTCTGAGGTCCACCCCTCCACCAGGCTTGTTCAGCAGGGATTTACTGAGCACCTATGCCATGCCTGAACCTCCCTGGACCTCAATTTTCTCATCTGTACAAACAAGGTTGGGTTTATTCCCCAAGAGTGTGTTTGTGCAGCAAACCATCCCTCACTGAGCACCTACTATGTACCAAAGATACTGAGTAGAGATACAGTCCCTCCTCCTAGGAACTTACATTCTAGTTAAATTACTGGTGGTGTGAAAGTGGAGATATTCAATAGGGTTCCAGGACTCTGAGGTTCTGTGCCCCCATTTTTTGTGGACCAAGGCAAGACTGTCTTTTCACAGAAAGGCACTAGCTTCCTCTGGCCCCTCTTGCCCTCCATCCCTTGCTGCTATTTGTCTCTACAACCCTCTTATCAAGTGTCTCTGATTCTAAAAGGAGAAAAAGCTGGTTTGGTTTTCTGTCTTACTTTGGAGAAACCCTAAAAAGTGTTTTCTGCTGGCATTTCCCTCTTCCCCCACCTCACTTCCCCACCAAAGATCCCAGCCCCCAGACCTTTGTTGTCATCTCAGTTGCCGGAGTGCTCTCGTGCTTGCTCAGGCAGAAGGGGGCTCTTTTTGGCACAGATTCAGCTGGAAGCAGAGGAAGAAAAGCCAGTTGGGAAAGAAACATTTCATCCCAGCCTGAGAACGGAAACCACGTTCTGCTTCCCCTCTGTGCCAGCCAAGAACCTGATCACCCTGAGTAAGCCCGCTGAGAGCATCCATCCTGAGACCTGCCGGGTATGATGAGGAGCTCAGTCAATGCCTTCACTTCCTGGTGGGACCAGACCACAGTTCCAGTGCTGGGCTTAGTTAAGTTGTTCTTAGTAGATGTTTGCTGTTTTAAATATAACTGACTTTTCATAGCTACAGGTGGGGAAGAAATTGGCAGTTTTATTTGTTACTTTTTTGTTTCGATTAGATAATCATGTAAATGGTACATGATTTAAAAAGTGCCTTTCCTGCCCCAGCTGTTCAGTGCCCCTCCATGAGGCAGCCAGTTAAAAGGCCCAGAGATGGTCTCTGTAAATTAAAAACACATACCTGTATATTCTCCTGACACATATGCAGAAAGGGCAGTGATTAGGTTACTTTTGAATCCCGTGCTCTTTAGAGTTTTTTAAGAAGTTATTTAGATTTGATCCACCCAGAAGTCCATGAACTTCTTTGTCTTCATGGATTTAGAGAATATTAATTCAAGTGTCAGGTACTAATTTGAATTTTGAAGTTCACAGCTCCACAGCAAGACTTGGTGAGAATGATTTTTCCTTCCTGCTTCACCATTTCTCCCCTGAGTCACTAGTCTCTGTGAGAAATAGCATCTCAATCACCTGGTTGCCTCTGCCAGGAGCCTGGAAGTTGTTCCTGACTCCCTCTCCATTTCCTTCCTCTGCTCATTCAAACAATGATATAGCCCCATGGAGCCTTCTCTCCAGGTGTAAGTTCATTTTCTTCTGGTCAGCCCCTCTGCTGTGGCCTTAGGTCTCTCCCTTAAACCCAAACCCCTTGGATTATTGTAGTAGTTGCCAGCCCTTTCTCCCCACAGCAGCTAGAGAGATCTTTCTGAATGCAAATCTGATCACATTCTTGGCCTGCTTAGAATCTTTTAGTGTCTTCCCTCTAACCCTGGCATGAAGTCCAGAGCAGCTCCTTGATAAGACAAGCCTGTTGTTGAATTTCTCTCTTGGGCTTTTACCTTTCTTTGCTCCCTCCCTCATTCTCTCTTGCCTCTCTGTTCCTCCTGACTGGGATGTGTCCCTCTTAACTATCTCTTACCATTCTTCAAGACGTGTGATAACTCCAAAAGTTAGGTTCTTCTCCTTTGGGCTCCCACAGTGCCCTGTGTTTATCTCTCATCATATCACTTTGTCCATCTGTCTGCTGGTTTGTGAGCTTCTTCAGCCTTGGGGCTGTATCATTTTTGTTCGTGCTTCCGTGGCAAAGTGTGAACAAAATGTTATTCCTGGTATAGTAGAAGGAGTATGAATTTGGGTCGTACAAGGTATTTGTCATTCTAAGTTGTCAGAATTATTGGCATGAAGTTGTTCATAATATTCCCTTCTTTTCCTTTTCGTATCAGTGGAATCTGTAATGATGTCGCATGTATCATTCCTGATATTAGAAGTTCAATATTTTCCTTCATAAAGAACCAGATTTTTATTTCATTGACTTCTGTTATTTGTTTTCTGTTTTATTTTTTACTTATTTAAAAAATTTGTTGAGATATAATTGGCATATAACATTGTTATGTGTGTGTGTGTGTATATATATATATATATATGATCATTACAATAAGTGGTGATCCAATAAATGATCACTACAGTAAGTCTAGTTTACGTCTCTCTATATTCTGTTTTATTTATTTTCACTTTGATCTTCATTGCCTTTCTTCTGCTTACTTTTGGTTTCATTTTTTCGTCTTCTAGTTTCTTAGGGTAGAAACTGAGGACACCGATTTGAGGTTTTTCTTCTTTTCTAATATAGGCATTTAGTGCTATAAAGTTTCCCCTAAGTGCTGCTTTCTCACAAATCTTGATATGTGTTTTCATTTCATTCAGTTCTAAAGATTTTGTAGTTTCTCATTGTATTTCTTTTTTGATCTATGGGTTATTTAGCAATATGTTATTTAGTTTCCAAATATTTGGAAATTTTCCAGAGATCTTCTGTTTATGATATATCATTTAATTTTATTGTGGTCAGACAACACACTTGGTATGACTGGAAGCCTTTTAAAATTTAGTAAGACTAGTATTATGGCTCAAAATATGGTCCATCTTGGTAGATGTTCGTATACACATGAACAGAATGAGTATTCTGTTGGTAGTGGAGTGTTTTATAAATGTCAGGACAAGGTTGTTGATTTTGTGCTGTTCAAGGCTTCAGTATCCTTACTGACGATTCTCTACTCATTCTATCAGTTATATTGATAAGGGTATTGAAATCTGACTGTAATTGTAGATTTGTCTATTTATCTTTGCAGTTCTATACATTTTTGCTTCTTGTATTTTAAAACTCTGTTATTAGGTATATAAATATTTACACTCTCATTTCTCTTCTCCTGGCATATGTGCTTTTTTTGTCATATGTTTGCTTTTACATATGTTATAAACCCAACAGTACATTTTTTTTTAAAAGAGGTTGAAATAATTAAAGAGTCTTACATGTTTAGCCAAGTATTTATCCTTCGTGGTGTTCATACCTCTGTGTAGAGCTATATCCATTTGGTATCATTTCCTTCTGCCTAAAGGACTTTCTTTAAAATATGTTGTATGGATCTGCTAGTGCTGAATTCTTTCACCTATTCCTTGCCTGACAAAATCTTTATTTTGCCTTTGTTTTTAAAAGATTTCACTGTGTTTAGAATTCTAGGTTGACATGGTTTATTTCCTTTTGGTACTTAAAAAATAGTGCTCTACCGTCTTCTTACTAGCGTTGTTTCTTATGTGAAATCTCTGTCATTCTTCTCTTTGTTGCTTTGTATGTCATGTGTATTTTTTTTCCTTTGGCTGTTTTTATGATTTTATCACTGGTTTTGAGCAATTTTGCAATAGTGTGCTTTGGTATAGTTTTCTTCATGTTTCTTATGCTCAGGGTTTGTTGAACTTCTTGGATCTGTGGGGGTTTGCGTTTTAGCAAATTGGAAAAATTTTGGCCATTAATTCGTGAACTGTTTGTTCATTTGCCGTCTCCTTTGAGGACTCCAGTTACACTTACATAGGCTGCTTGCAGTTATCTCACAGCACATTGATGCTCTTCTCATTTTAAAAATTATTTTTTTTACTATGTTTCATTTGGGGTAGTTTCTATTGCCCTGTCTTCAAGTTTACGAGGCTTTTCTTCTGCAATGTCAATCTGCTGTTAGTCCCATCCAATAATTTTAATGTCTAGAAAACTCAATTTGAGTTTTTAAAAAAAAGTGTTATAACTATATAGGTTCATATATTGTTAGAGCTGGAGGAAGATCTTGGAACTAAGCCATTCTTTTTTTTGGAAGTGGGGTTTGTTGCTGTTGTTCCTTTTTAAAAATTTGTTTTTGTTTTTTTAGGGGTAGGTAATTAGGTTTATTTAGTAATTTTTTAATGGAAGTACTGGAGATTGAACCCAGGACCTCGTGCATGCTAAGCATGTGCTTTTACCACTGAGCTAAAGCCTCCTGCCCTGATCCGTTCTTATGTTCTTTTTTTTTCCAACAGAAGTCTCACATATTTAATACTAAACTAGAGCACTAGTGCAGAAACACTGACACAAAGAGAAAAATCATTTTCCCAATTAAACACATCCAGCCATTCAGATAGTAGTGATGTTTTCAGAGTGATATGGTAGAACCCAAGTACCTTGACACAGCATAAATATGTGTGCCGCCTCATATGCAGGGCTCCTTATGGACCCAGCTTGGTTTTTCTCCAATGTCTTCTCTTGGAATTGTACCTGATTTTGTTACCAGTTTTCATTCGAATCCATAGGGGAATGGGATGAGTCTGCTTTTGTTTCTTGGCCAGGAGTTGCATGATCTTGTGAGAAGCCATGGCGAGGAGCAAATTCATCCTCACATAGGATGGCAGAGAAGAGAAGAGAGTCCATTCTTCTTACATTCTTGATGAGGATTCTGAGGCCCTAAGAAATCAGAGTCCTTGCCAAGTGATGTGATTTGGTCATGGCAGAGTTAGATTTAGAAGCTGAATCCAGGAACACAAAATCTGTGTTACAGGTTCTGTTTAGTCAGAAGTCTCCCCAGGAACAGTGGAAGGAACACTGTCCCAGTGGCAGGGCACCTGGATTCTTCCTTGGCCATTATGTCTATAACCATGTGGCCTTGAGCAAGTTGTTGAGCCGTTGTGGCTTCAGTTGCATGTCTTTAAATTGGGCGTAACTGTAACTGCCTAAAGGCAAGGGATTGTCCTCTAGAACTAAGATTGATGTCAGATGTTACGGGTGATCAGGTGTAAGGTGGTGAGCAGCCGTAGGTGCTGCAGTGAATTGGAGAGTTTGTGCCCCTTCTAAGAGGATAACTACTACTTAACTCTACTCAGTTGTTGCCAGACAGCAACGTGGGCTCAGTATTGCCAGATAATCTGCATTTTCAAAAGGAAGCCAAAAATCTGGATTTTCGTCTGAAATATGTAACATCCAGATTTACACATTAAGACATGGGACAACTAAGACAAATATTTGAGCTGTATGGGTGTTCAGTTTTAGCCTCTGATAGCTGTTTAAATGAAATTCTATGACCTGGTTGCCACACAGGAAAGAACCTTGCCTCACCTCCCAGGACACAGGCCGTCTGACTGTGGCCCTTGATCACCAAGGGCAGATCACTTTCCTTCCTGGGATCCTTATTCCCCCAGCCTGGCCCTGAGTTGCCCTTATCACAAAGAGGTACTTCCTGGATGCCTCCTGTTTCTGGGAAGTGAAACACCTTCTCTTCCTACCCAAATTGAACCTAGCTACAGCAGAGCTGTGGGAAGCCATCAGCTGCCCTTCCAAGGAAAGGAGGAGGCAGCCACACAGGCCTTTGCACTATTCCCTTGGGTGAGCCTGACTCCTCTTGGCTATTTTCTCTTCCTCCTTATGGTCCAGGCCACTCCTACTGGCCCACTCTGAAACAGTCTGCTGTTTACTCTGAGTCTCTGTTACCTCTCTCCAGCTGTAGTCACAGCGGAGGTCCCAGGCTCACTGTCCCTTAAACAAACCCATAGACCTTTGGTTTTAAAGTTCTAGGCATCCCAGTAGGGGTTAACACAGAAGAAGGTGGGTAAGTGACAGAAGTTTGGGAAACTTTATCAAGTTCTTGTAGCTGTGGTCCCTAGGACTTCTAGAATATAGAGGGAAGGTCATTTTAGGTCTTGGAAAAGATCTTGAGGCCATTACAGGATAAGAGGACAGAGGGCCCAGCCCACTGGCCTTAGAAGAAATGACAGGGCAACGCTGGGCATTCTGGAGTGCCCTCTCTCCCTATCTCAGTGCTGTTAGGGCCACAGAATGTAGGTTCCACCCTTGAGGAGCTTGTGGTATAGGAAAGACATAGGGCAGGCATGAGGAAAGAAGACATTTATTTATTCTTTAAAACAGAAAAAAACAAAAACACTTCACCACAAACTCCCAAACTATGTAGAATTGTCATCCCAAACTCAGAGAGCCTGGTAAAATGCTTAGAATTTATCATGTGTACCTTAGCCAATTTAAAATCCACTAGAAATTGTTTTTTAGTCAGAGGCTTTTACTGCCTACCCTGATGGATTACTAATTAGTCAGGGGTTTCTGGGCAGGCTGAGCTGCCCCTTGGATGCCTTTGGTGCCAGACTGCTAGCTTTTAGAATCAGTTGGGTGGAGAGGCACAGAGGCTCTCAGATCCCCACGGTTAGGCAGAAGCAGGCCAGCTGGTGCAGGGTAAAGATTCCTCTGTAAAAACTTGCCCTTTGCAGATAGGCAACCTGGCATTGATCCAGGCCTGTCACTGCCTGATTGTATGACTTGGGCAGGTGATAAACTCCCTGTGCCTCAATTTCCCTATCTGTCAAATGGGACACTAATAGTACCTACCACATTGGGTTGTTACGGGGGGCCGGTGAGCGTGTAAAGCACAAGTCATGGTGCCTGGCACCTAGGAAGCTCTTCATAAGTGTTAACTGCTGTTACATCTCTTTACTGTGCCACAGCTGTACACCCTTTCTTGGAGAGACTCACTGGGCTGAGGGAGGGACAGGAAGATCCAAAACGCCCCAGAGAGAATGTCGGACACAGGCAAGGAGTTGGGGGGGATGCAGAAGGGGAAATAAATGGGCAAGATGGAGAGAATGCTCATATTTTATCGAGTATTTTTGAAGAGATTATCATTCTCATTCATCCTTGGGGTGGCTGTTTCACTCCCATCTTCTATTTGATGAAGAGGTGAAATGACTTACCCTAGACCTGTGTCTAGGCCAGGATTCTGACACCAAGCCCCATGCTGTTTTCTCTGTGCCCCAGTGCTGGTACAAGTCAGTCAGGACCAAAGTTGATGAAGCTTGTGTTGGCTAAATAATCAGGGTGGTTTTAAATTGTTTTTTTCCCAAGCTGTTTTTTTTTGGTGGGGTAGGGTGGCAGGGAGTGGTAGTGGCCCTGGTTCTCTTTGTGTTAAAATAGGCTCTGAGAAGTCTGGCAGTTAATACCAGTGACCAACATTTATTAAACATGAATGTATGTCTGGCCAAAGGCCAGGAGCTTCACATACATGTCTCATTTTAATCCTCACAATAACTATGAGGTGAGTATTATTATTATCTGAGGATTAGCGGGGTTAAGTAATTTGCTTAGGGTTTACTTGATAGTGGAGCTGAAACTTACAGCTGGACACCTGGACTCCCTAAATGACCATTGTAATTTGATGCAACCCAGCATTTCCTAAGCTTATTTGAACGTGTCTTATCTTGCCTTTACCTTCCTTTTGCAGAACATACTTTCTATGTACTGCTTAAATGATTTTGGAGCAGTTTGCTATTCTGTTCGTATGTTAATTGGGGGGCTTATTTCTTTTATTTTAGTCCATAAGCAACAGATAAGGGGCTTCTTTCTTTCTCTCTAGAATTTTCCCTTGCAGCGAGTACTGTACTTCCTGTGTATTTGCTGATGAAGTCAGCAGGGTTTCAGACTCTACTTTCCTGGTCATACACAAGTACTTATTTTACCACCGCTGAATGGAGTACATTAGCTCCAGGCCACGGAGAGCAAATTAGGGGAACTGGGAGATACATCACAGAGAATGAGGCTGCTCTGAAAAATGCTGTCTGCACCTCTAGCCTGAACTCTCCAGCTGTGTGGGAATAACTCCAGCAGTGTCAGGAACAGCATTCCAAGGCTTTTGAAAGATGAGGCACTCTTTTCTGCAGGTGAGCTTGGGACACTGTCTGAGTGACAATGAACACAAAACCGCCTCCATCTAGGCTTAAAGGTGCATTTTGGTTTCAGAGACCTTTCTGTAGGTTCCTGCCACCTTTATACAGAGTAGAGAAACTAGAGTCCGGCCCTGTGCCCGTCTTCTGACTGCAGGCAGGATCAACAGCACCCATTTGGGGAAGGTACTCTGGAACTAGGCAGACCAGCACTTCTTTTCTATTAGTTTTTCTTTTTCTTCTAACTGGAGATTTAGGAAGCATATTGGGTAGCATTCCAGTTCTTTAGTGCGTCAGCATGAGCTTTTAAGTGGGGTTTGCGAAAGTCGGGGTTTGTAAAAGTCAAAGTTTGGAGATTGGAGAAAGAATGTTAGGAGTCTGGTTTCCTTATGGCGGGGAAACTGCTGATTTATTTATAGCGACTTAATTTGGAGATAACCGACTTAATGGAAAGAGCCCTGGGCTGCAGACCTGGGTTCTAGTCCTGATTCTTCTTCTGACTTGCTGCAGGATCCTGGCAGGCTGTCTCACCTTTTCTGAACATTGTTTATTCTCAGTTACGTAAGAAGACGAGTTGAACTTCGGTATCTCCAAAGAGTCCTTCAAGCCCCGTCTGCCTTTGATGCCAGGATTGTAACTCTTATTTGGTCAGAGTTTGGCAGGACATCTGATGCCATGTGGTGCAGGGGTGCTTGCTAATAACCATCACTGAAGGAGGATGAGTTTCTTTGACATTGGTGGTTAACTCTGTAGTTTTGACTTTAAGTCTTTTCTTGTCAACATACACAGGGCAGATGACAGGTGACTCAACAAAGTGACTAGTGGCTTGAAGGCCAGGTGTGGTTCTCCTGGCTGAGAGCGCCCTGAACATCTGAGGTTTATTCAAGGGCACGATGGGCAAGGAGCATCTGACTGATTGCTGGAGGCAGGCAAAGCAGGGCTTCCTCAGCTTCATTCGGCTCCCTGCCTGCCAGCCCTGCTGTGACCAGGCTGCTAAGGGTTCTCCAGAATTCTCACTTAGCGTTGCATTTGTGTGTAAGTGTCCTCTGGAATGTGTTTGTATTTGCTGTGTAGTTCATGCTGAGAGTGGGAAAGAACCAGCGCTTGCCTCCTCTCCTGGCCCTTGGACCTTATCTGCATGAATTCAGATGTATTCATGATGCATGAATTCAGTTTTTGAAAGAACTCTGGACACCATCATTCATTCAGTGCAAGGACCCTCCTTCTCCCCAGTGTGTGAATCTCTCTGTACTGGTTGTTAGTATACACTTATGACATCTTAGCATTTGTTAGATGCCCAAGGCTAATGGCCCGTATTCTGAATGCCCCCAAATCAAAGCAGAGAAACTTGCCCTCCTCAGCAACCCTTCAAAGAGAAGTCAAGCCTGCCTTTGCCAAGGAGAAAGGAATGTCCTACCTAGCTGAACTGAAGCGTTCTCTGAAAATGGTTTCTCTGCAGTCACCAACAGATGCCTTGCTGGTCCCGGGTGAATGTCTTTTCGACTAGTCTGTCTGCTTCTTAGGGTATCTCTTCTGTATTTTTTCTCCAAATAGCTGTTTAGAGTGTCTAATGAAGCAACTGTCTGGAGACCAATGTTTATTTCAACATGGTTGGAGTTGTTTTTGCTTCAGCTTTCAGAGCCAATAAAGCTGGTTAT